TTTCAAAATCTTGCTGGATAAAATCAGCGGGGAAAATGGGGATCGGGGTGGGAGCTTGGACAAGCCGCCGGCTTCTTGTCCTCGTGGAGGTCACTAGAGGGATAGTGGCCCTCAGGTAAATTCAGGCAAATATGAAGCTCTTGTGATTTCATTGTATGTGTTTTGTTAGTGTAGATGAGTGTATAACCCCTGTACCGACATTCATTTATTTTCTCTTTCTCTCTTTCTTTTTATACTCGCTATATCAGGCACCAGCTGGTGACTTGGCTCCAGCTGGTTTACTCTGTGCCAGGTGGCTCTGCGTGTGTGTGTGTGCGTGTGTGTGTGTGTGCATTTTTGTGTTTGACAGCCAAGTGTGCCTCGTGTTGGACACACATTAACTCTGTCTTCTAATACCGTCTCATCTCAAGCAGAAACCCTTTGAGTAAGATTTTTGGCAGCCCTGTGATTGGCTTCCTGGCAACCCTGTGATTGGCTTCCTGGCAGCCCTGTGATTGGCTTCCTGGCAGCCCTGTGATTGGCTTCCGGATACACCAATGTGCTTCCGGGTATCCTGATTAAAAAAATATCCAATCAGAATTCTGGGATTAATTCTAACTGGTTCGTCTTATCTGAACAAATTCTCCAATTGGTTCTTCCCATCGACATCTTCATCTTCTCCTACAGTAACCAACGGCAGAGGTTCCTTTCGTTATTAGAGCTTTAGCGTCCTCTCGTTAGCAATTGCAAATTGTAATGTTGTGAGTATTTTTTTTTTTTTTTTTTTTTTTACACTTCTTGGACCATTGGGAGATCGTGTTGGGATCCAAGGTATTGTGGTTTGAACTTTATATGTTAAGGACGAGGTGTAGTTTTTTTTTATACTGTTAAGTGTGTCAAGAATTTGGCCAAAACAGTCTCCATAGAAGACAGTTTACATCTGGGGGTGAGTTAAGTTACGCAGTTACTAGTCTTGCTGCACACCCACCCAACTGGGCGGCAGCTTGACAGTCATGTGCTCCACACCCACCCAACTGGGCGGCAGCTTTACAGTCATGTGCTCCACACCCACCCAACTGGGCGGCAGCTTTACAGTCATGTGCTCCACACCCACCCAACTGGGCGGCAGCTTGACAGTCAGGTGCTCCACACCCACCCAACTGGGCGGCAGCTTTACAGTCATGTGCTCCACACCCACCCAACTGGGCGGCAGCTTTACAGTCATGTGCTCCACACCCACCCAACTGGGCGGCAGCTTTACAGTCATGTGCTCCACACCCACCCAACTGGGCGGCAGCTTGACAGTCATATGCTCCACACCCACCCAACTGGGCGGCAGCTTGACAGTCAGATGCGGGCCCCACCTACAGTAAACCAACTTTGGATACTTGGCTAAGATTCCTGGCAGTACATCATTATGCATGAAGTACTCACACATTTCTTGAACACCACTGATAAGAGTTATCTCTCTCTTCGAAATCTGTGAATTCCGAGATATTTTGTTCGCATTCAGTTATATAATGACGCGAAGTATGTGAATACTTCTGCTGAAAGTTTACATTTAGTCAACAGTAAACTCCCAGGGGTAGTGTGTGTCTACTAGCCTAAGCCTGTTACTACTGCTAGTCTAAGCCTAGCAGTGGTAACATCTAGAAGTCTGCGAACCACGTTGGGTGATCGATAGATGTGCGCTTCTTCCTGAATAATAAAATGCCGATAGATGGAGTAACTGGTGCGAATTTTCACTTTGCCCTAAGTTTACTAGATTTTACTGCTATTTCTGGAATATTGCTGCCCCCTCCCCCTCTCAGGCTTCTCGGAGGCAATTCAAGGTGGTAATCAGTTCAGTTCTTTACGAGCAAATGGAGTTAAGTTTCTCCCGTGGATTCCTTCCTAGATTGGTCTCCGAATGCTCGATAGATATAGATAGATAGGGTGAGATGCTTGGGTAGATGTGCCTTAGAGGTGGCGTAGACTAATGATGTAACTCATACATCTAACTATTCAGAACGTTATTAATTAACCCGCCCTACGAGATGCCAAGCGTGACCTCCCCGCATCTTGTCGCAGGTCTTGGGCCTAAGGAGAGGTTCTCAGGAGTTGAAGACAATTGGGAGAGCCAGGGTCAAGGAGCTGAAGCACAACCTACCAGGAATAAACTACTTGAGGGCCACTCATAACTCAGGCGCGCGCGCGCACACGTTTTATATTTTAGTATACAGCCAACAAAGTTTTATATAAGCATAAATGTTCAAAAATGTCATATCCTTGGTGCAGATCAATTGTCTAGTGCAGTTGTTCAATCTTGGTGACCGTGCACTAAGTGAACACGCACACACCCTCTGCGAAAGTGCTGAACATGAACAAATCCACAAGGGCCGTGACGAGGATTCGAACCTGCGTCCGAGAGCATCCCAGGATCCAAGTAAATTCAGTGGAATTTCTGGTTGCAATTCTTATACCATGTCGTAGCTCAGGCGATTAAGGCAGCGTCTGGGATGCTCCCGGACGCAGGTTCGAATCCTCGTCACGGCCCTTGTGGATTTGTTCATTTCATTTGGAAAAATGAAGGAGTGGGAATGTCCTCTCTTCTACTTACCTGTAGTGGGTTCCGAGAGTTTTTTTTTTGCTGCCTAAGCCTCGGCCTTGGGTGAGGCTTGTGTTGTGACAAACTTGATCTAACAGGCTATTGTTTAGGGCGGCCCGCAGGCCCGCGTGTTCACTACGATTGGTCCGGCTCTTCCTGCAGGCATTTGTCGTCCAATTGTGTCTTGAACACGTTCCCTTTGTTCCGGCACCACTGCGTGTTGTTGTTCCCGGGGGTGAAATGTTGCCTCAATCACCTAAACTGTTTACACATTTTCCTACACATTTGTCAACTTTTTTTCCTGAGGTACACACACGCACGCACATGCACATATACACACGTACACATGCACACACACACAAATGTGCCCAAATGAGCCACAGAGATATTAGAAAGAACTTTTTTCGTGTCAGAGTTGTTGACAAATGGAATGCATTAGGCAGTGATGTGGTGGAGGCTGACTCCATACACAGTTTCAAGTGTAGATATGATAGAGCCCAGTAGGCTCAGGAACCTGTACACCAGTTGATTGACGGTTGAGAGGCGGGACCAAAGAGCCAAAGCTCAATTTCTGAATTTCTGAAACTAGCAACTTTACGGGTTAAATCCATACACGAGTTTAGATTAAGATATTAGCATTAACTCATATAGTTAGGGACTCCTCAGCAGATCATTTAGCGTATCGAGGCGGGACCCAGGAGCTGAGTGCGCCGGGAAGAGTTACATTATAACTCAACACGTTCGACAAAGTATAAATTGTTAGGTAAGCACTTAGTTGTGTGGTCAGATAAACCGTTTGGCAAGATGATCATTGCTTCTCCAAGGTCGTTGCCGAGGACGTGGCGGTGATTCGTCTCACTGTCGGTGTTGGCAACTTCTCCGTCTCACCACCACAACTCTCTGCTTGGCCAGAAGAAGCCGGGCCGCTGGAACATTGATCCTCGGAACCACCTTGAAGCAACCATGTTGATTTATTGCCGCTGTAGGCCATCTTCGGCGTTGGGAATCTAGAACAAAGTACATTATTTTCTGTCTGCCTCTCGACACAACCTTGTGCTTTTTATAGCTCTCACCAGAAACCTTTTTTTGCGGTAAGCCTCCCGGACTCTCTGCTACACGTGGGCACTTGTTCAGTGCACATGTTGCTACCTACAGTCTTGTTCCACAGTGTTAACCTCACAATTTCCACTCTTAACTTCTTCCTTGTATATATATATATATATTGGGAGTACCGCCTCTGGCTGGAAGAAGGGGACCCTTAGCCTCGGAGGAAATCACACATAACGCATTAGATTATTATTAACATCTTTATTGACAAAATTAATTACAATTTTGCCTAATCTGAGGATTTTGATAGTCTTATTAAATTGAGGTTAATGCTAGTATTCACTGTCACGCAGGACAGAGGGTCATACATAAGACAATAGGTCTAAAAACGCATTAGAGGGAAAGTTTAGGTTCCCTCCCAATACAGTTTCTGTGTGCTTTTCTCCTGCCACCCCCTTCCTTTTGTCCTTTGTTGTGCTTTATTAGATGTTTAAACGTTACAAGATGTGCAGTGGTTGATACAGTGCGTGCTTAAAGGTTATGGATCTCTTGGAACTCCTCCGCTTCTGAACAGGAACCGAGGACGCAGCAGGCGTTTCCCGTCTGGATCGCCACACTGAGTCACTGAAACAGGAAACTGGCAGCTCTTGGGTCTCTGGTGATGTCTCACCTGGGTCTCTAGATTGATTGATGCCACCTAAGAGGTGGCACGGGCATGAATAACCCGTAATGTGGGCAGTGTGCACGAAGCTCAATATATATATATATATGGAGTCTATTGTCCACTTGGGTAGGTTATCTTATTAACAGCTTGCGAGGTTGTAACTTCATAACCCAAGGTCATGGTTGTTTATACCTCGTAGTGCTTCGGAGCTTATAAACTGTTACATAAATGTAAACAAAGCCGCCATTATTGAGAAAGGATGCACAGGTTTCGCAAGAGGCTGCGCTAATATTTAAAGAAATTGTGGTCCGGGGTCCCATAGCCTGGCTGCCTCAGGAGACTATCCGCTGTTTTCCTCCTCACAGACCGGTGTGTTGACACCTGCTGGAGTGGAGTTTTTTTTTTTTTTTTTGAGATATATACAAGAGTTGTTACATTCTTGTACAGCCACTAGTACGCGTAGCTTTTCGGGCAAGTCCTTAATCCTATGGTCCCTGGAATACGATCCCCTGCCGCGAAGAATCGTTTTTTCATCCAAGTACACATTTTACTGTTGCGTTAAACAGAGGCTACAGTTAAGGAATTGCGCCCAGTAAATCCTCCCCGGCCAGGATACGAACCCATGACATAGCGCTCGCGGAACGCCAGGCGAGTGTCTTACCACTACACCACGGAGACTGTATTCTTCCAATCATTTATTTGAATCATTTATTTCTTTAAAAGGAGAGATTGTCTCTGGTTGAGAGTAACCTAACCTACACGTCAGAGTCCTGTGGTGCTGTGGGCTACGTCCTCGACTCGCAACTGAGTTCAATCTCTGCAGCAGGACAGGGCCGATTGGGTACATTTCCTCTTGCTTGATGCCTCTGTTTACCCAGCAGTAAATACTGTTAGGTGGCCAGGAGTTGAGCAGCTGTTGTGTGGGGGTTTCATCATGTGTAAGGTCAATCAAGTTGGGGCTCGATAAGCGTGTGTGTGTGTTGGGTTCCTGGCTCCCGGGCGACGGGAAACTATAATAAGATAACGCTTCTCACCTGTAATAGTCACGTCGGGTAGCAGACTCGGTAAAGGCTGGCACTACCAGAGGAGCTGAAGCCACAGTGAGAGTAACCTTGTACATAAATGTACAACCTACACCATCTGGGGGGTTGCTTTACATCATAGGGAGAAGAACTCCCAGAACCCCATCAAGCAGCATTTACCTATCTGTCCATTTAGTGCACTTATACGAACGTGCGCTCCTATGCCCATATCATGACACACCTTCACTCCCCCCTATACCCATATCATGACACACCTTCACTCCCCCCTATACCCATATCATGATACACCTTCACTCCCCTCTCCCCTCTCATGGTCTTATCAGACCCAGCGGGTCTTATCAGGTACTCTTGGCTCTCTTTGTTTACATGTGACGTCATCAGTGACCTTGATAACGCGCGCGCTTATTCGGGCCAACTTCTCCAGGCTAACTGCGAGACCATTTGAGAGACGAGTGTCTTAGGTGGCATTGTGTGTGTTCACGTGCATCTGGAGTGTCTCTCAGGCTAGGGGGGGGGGGAGGTGTGTGTGTGGGAAGGGAAGGGCCTGGTTGAGGCACTTGGGGTGTTTTAGTGTGTATGCTCACCTAGTTATGCGTGCAGGGGGTTGAGCTTTGACTCTTTGGTCCCGCCTCTCCACTGTCAATCAACTGTGTGTGTGAGAGACAGACTCGCTCATTGACAGACTCGCCCATTGACAGACTCGCCCTCCCTCTTCCCCCCATCTTTTTCTCCTCCCTCCCTCCCTTCTCCTCTCCACCGTTACGTTGAGTGAGAGCAGTTCGCGCCACGCCCAGGAGCCACTGTCAGTCCTCATCGATTCCTGGCTCACATAGCAGTGTGTAGGGCTGGGGGAGGGGGGGGGGAGGTTCCTGTGAGTAGTACTTCGCTTCCTTTTCTTCCTCCCTCATTTTCCTCCATCTTCCTCCCTCATCCTCCCTCATCTTCCTATCTCATCTTCCTCCCTCATCCTCCTCCTCCTCGCTGTTCGTCTTGTGCCTGGGACTCTCGGTGGTAATGCAGACCAAGAGATTGCTGAAATAGAGGGAATACAGAGAACATATACGGCACGCATAGACGAGATAAAACACCTAAATTATTGGGATCGTCTCAAAGCCCTCCAAATGTACTCTCTAGAAAGGAGACGAGAGAGATACCAAATAATATACACGTGGGAGATATTGGAGGACCAGGTGCGCCAAATCTACACAGTAAAATAACAACGTACTGGAGTGAACGATATGGAAGAAAATGCAGAATAGAACCAGTGAAGAGCAGAGGTGCCATAGGCACAATCAGAGAACACTGTATAAACATCAGAGGTCCGCGGTTGTTCAACGTCCTCCCAGCGAGCATAAGAAATATTGCCGGAACAACCGTGGACATCTTCAAGAGGAAACTGGACTGTTTTCTAAAAGAAGTTCCGGACCAACCGGGCTGTGGTGGGTATGTGGGCCTGCTAGCGGGCCGCTCCAAACAACAGCCTGGTGGACCAAACTCTCACAAGTCAAACCTGGCCTCGGGCCGGGCTTGGGGAGTAGAACTCCCAGAACCCCATCAACCAGGTATATGTGGGCCTGCTAGCGGGCCGCTCCAAACAACAGCCTGGTGGACCAAACTCTCACAAGTCAAACCTGGCCTCGGGCCGGGCTTGGGGAGTAGAACAACACCCAGAACCCCATCAACCAGGTAGTGGTTGTAATAGCACAGGAGTGCTAAGGTGTGGGGGTTGAACACACCGCTTTTCTACACAGTTTCCGTGGCAATTATTTAGTATGTGGCTCGGTGCTTGTTTGCTGGTCATCTGTCTTCTTGCTGGCAACGTGAGCTGGATGGGGGGGGGGGGTATTGATCGCCTATTCGCTGACACGTTTAGCCAATGGGAATTTTTATTAGCCGATTTATTGTTAAACTGTGATGTATATTCTTTGTGTATATATATATATATATATAATATATATATATATATATATATATATATATATATATATATATATATATATATAATATAATATATATATATATTTACCTTGCCCGAATAGAGAGAAAGTAAATAGGAAAGAGAGAATAGAAGAAAAAATTCCCTCTCGGGAGCCGGTCGGTCGAGCGGACAGCATGCTGGACTTGTGATCCTGTGGTCCCGGGTTTGATCCCAGGCGCCGGCGAGAAACAATGGGCAGAGTTTCTTTCACCCTATGCCCCCTGTTACCTAGCAGTAAAATAGGTACCTGGGTGTTAGTCAGCTGTCACAGGCTGCTTCCTGGGGGGTGGAGGCCTGGTCGAGGACCGGGCCGCGGGGACACTAAAGCCCCGAAATCATCTCAAGATAACCTCAAGATAACTTGCGTATTAGTGACTTTAGGCAACTAATACCTGTACTAAGCTTTATCTAGAAATCCAACAATATGTTTGTAACTTATCTTGTATGTATATATACTTTTATCTGAATAAACATTATGTTAATTAGCTGACCTGACGTCGCACTAAATGCACTTTAGTTTGGACGTTCTAGACCACGGCTTCAAGATTCCAGTGTCTTAGTGAAATTATAAGCGCTGTAATATTGGCGTCGCCTCGGAGTAGTGAGTATTCAACCGGTCCTCACTCAACCCGTCCTCGACTCAAGTCCATTCCATGCAGCGGTCGACCCCACAGACGCATTCATAACTTTTTACATGCTGTTCATTCAAAACGGGAATTTTCTCAAATATAAATTAATATTATAATATATCGGCATATTATGCATATATATATAGGCATAGGTTAGGTTAGGTGTTTTAGGTTCTGTTGGCGATTATTTGTATTAGTAGTACGTGGGTGAAGCATTTATAGCGTTGTGGTTCGAATAAAATTCGTCAGTGAAGCACTTGTTCCGGAAGTGTTCGAACGAAATCAGTTGAGAGTCGTGTGTAAACCGTTTTTCATTCATGAACAGGGGGTTTGACGGGTGCATGGAATCACTTTTGGGTCTTTGGAGGACGGGCTGGTATGGCTGCTGGATTAACGAGCTTGGATCTTTGTATGCATTGACGGGCTGGAGCATTTAATAGGTTCGGTGGTTTGCGTTGGTTCGACCTCTTACCTCTAGTTACCTAAAACGTCAAGCCGTCCTCAGGCCAGGGGCCAGATTCACGAAAGCACTTACGCAAGCACTTACGAACCTGTACATCTTTTCTCAATCTTTGGCGGCTTTGTTTCCAATTATTAAACAGTTAATAATGAGCTCCGAAGCACCAGGAGGCTGTTTATAACAATAACAACAGTTGAATGGCAAGTTTTCATGCTTGTAAACTGTTTAATAAATGTAACCAAAGCCGCCAAAGATTGAGGAAAGATGTACACGTTCGTATGTGTTTGCGTAACTGCTTCGTGAATCTGGCCCCTGGCTCGTGAGAGCAGCGGCCATTCCCACAGACGCATTCACCAATTTTAACACTAATAAAAATAAGTTAACTTTTATATGTAAATGAATATTATACATGTAAATATATATATTATACATATTCCATGTATAGGTAGGCGTTTAGGTTTCATTGGCGTTTATTTGTATGTGAAGTACGTGGGTGAAGCTTGTATAGCGTGACACTACACTGCACATAGAAATCACAATAGCCTGATGCATCAAATGAACATATTTGTTGGCGATGAGTCACAATAACGTGGCTAAAGTATGTTGACCAGACCACACACTAGAAGGTGAAGGGACGACGACGACGACGTTTCGGTCCGTCCTGGACCATTCTCATAGTCGATTGTGTGCGTATTAGTCGATTTGAGAATGGTCCAGGACGGACCGCAACGTCGTCGTCCCTTCACCTTCTAGTGTGTTGTCTGGTCAACATACTTCAGCTACGTTATTGTGACTCATCGCCTGCAAAATTGACGTTTGTCAAATCCTGAGACTCGAGTGGGGAGAGAGAGAGAGAGGGAGAGAGGGGGGGGGGGGTGAGGCACAGGCTGTCACAGGTGTGGTGACAGGTGTTGAACTACATACCTCCCAGGATTCATTTCAATAGAGGCCACGTCATGATTAAATTACCTTCAAATTGAAATAAGTTTATTGAGGTAAAATACACACAAAGGGATGAGGTAGCTCAAGCTATTCTCACCCCGTTCAGTACATCGTGTTAATACATACATAGACACACATCACAAACAATAAACATATTACCAAACATTCTGAGAGATAAACATATACATTTCCTCCTTTGCACAATTATAAATTACCTTATTAACTGTAAGTTACCCTCAGTCGTTTAGATGTTTAGAACAGGAAACAATAACCAAACTCGGTGATGTGTTTACATTATGAGCTAAAAGATGGTGACAGTTGAATTGAATTCAATTGAACTATCAGGGCCAAGCCATAACGACTATATAGCACTTGGAAGGGGCCAGGATAAGGATTTGGGATGGTATGGGGCGGGGGGGTGAGGAATGGTGCCCAACCACTTGTGGACGGTCGGGGATTGAACGCCGACCTGCATGAAGCGAGACCGTCGCTCTACTGTCCACCCAAATGAACAGTAGCCTAATCAGAAGGGGTAAGGCACCACACAATAGTGAGATAGCAGCCACCCGGATAACCAACTTAACATTTGTAACTAGCTGTAAACACGCTGTTCACTCCTAAATGCAAGTGAACTTGTAAGTTAATAATTAATATGGGGTTGGCTGCAACAGGCAAATACTTTAGTATGCCCCATACATCGACATACAGCTCCAACACTGGATAACATCAAGCTATCCCAATCATTATGGCCGAAGAGGAGGACGACGAGGGAGAGAATCAGTAATAGCGAGAATCCGTCTTGGATACAAATATCCATGGAGATTTGGAATGGAAACAACAGTTGATCAGCGAAGTTGCAGAATCTGTGGTGAGAGTGATGGACACCGCCTTGACCACTATCTACGTGAATGTGAACACCTGAGAGACATTAGGAATGTGTGTAGAATAATAAACCCCACATTGTTTGAGTTAGGAAAACAGTATTTGTCAAATATTGATACTGTTTTTAAAAGATTTCCCCATTTTGCACCCGCAAGATAACGTAAGCTTTTAAGGGTTGATAAATGTTAATCTTCTTGTTTGAGGAGCTGTTCACTTGAGACAGTTAAGCAAGTCCCAGCTGTGTCTGGGTACAAGTGACAGGATGAACAACCCAGCGGGTTTTCTTCCTATTGGGGAGTGTTGTACATTCTGCTATGGCGGTGTGTTCACTCACAAGATGAGTGGCGCTGCCCAATAAACTCGCCCCTCGGGGCAAAATTTAAAAAATTTAAAACATCTAGCTATGGTTGTCCTGCTGCTCCCTCTCTTCCTCTCCCTCTCTCCCTCTCTTCCTCTCTCCCTCTCTTCCTCTCTCCCTCTCTTCCTCTCTCCCTCTCTTCCTCTCTCCCTCTCTTCCTCTCTCCCTCTCTCCCTCTCTTCCTCTCTCCCTCTCTTCCTCTCTCCCTCTCTTCCTCTCTCCTTCTCTTCCTCTCTCCCTCTCTCCCTCTCTTCCTCTCTCCCTCTCTTCCTCTCTCTCTCTCTTCCTCTCTCTCCCTCTTCCTCTCTCTCCCTCTTCCTCTCTCTCCCTCTTCCTCTCTCTCCCTCTCTTCCTCTCTCTCCCTCTCTTCCTCTCTCCCTCTCTTCCTCTCCCCCTCTCTCCCTCTCTTCCTCTCTCTCTCCCCCTCTCCCACAGCCGAGACCAGGTCCACGTGTCGTCGTCACCACCATCCAGCCCTACCATTGGCTGGCGACGTCGCTGAACGAGTCGTCACTGGAGGAGACGAAGGGAAGGGAAGTATCAAGGGGGGGAAAGCGCCAAGCCATTACGACAATATAGCACTTGGAAGAGATCAGGATAAGGATTTGGGATGGGACGGGGGGGGGGGGGGTTGGGAAGACGAGACGCGTGGTAGTTTGGGGTGGGTTTTAGGGGGATAAGTGTCATTACGACACTTACGGGAGAAAATGCAAGATTGAACCAGTGAAGAGCAGGGGTGTCATAGGCACAATCAGAGAACACTGTATAAACATCAGAGGTCCGCGGTTGTTCAACGTCCTCCCAGCGAGCATCAGAAATATTGCCGGAACAACCGTGGACATCTTCAAGAGAAAACTGGACTGTTTTCTAAGAGAAGTTCCGGATCAGCCGGGCTGTGGTGGGTATGTGGGCCTGCTAGCGGGCCTCTCCAAGCAACAGCCTGGTGGACCAAACTCTCACAAGTCAAGCCTGGTCGCGGGCCGGGCTTGGGGAGTAGAAGAACTCCCAGAACCCCATCAACCAGGTATCAATCAGGTCATTTTGGGTGGTGGGTGTGTGGTATCCAGAGAGAACTTGCAGGGTGGACTACTGTATCTCTTGACAAATCTATTTATTTAGAGGGATGCTGAAAGGTTTTGGGCTGGTGAGAGCCTTTGTCAACAAGAGACTGGTTAAGGTTAGCAGAGAGAGGTAGCCTCCCCTGGAGGCTACCGCCTCTGGGGGAGGTAGAGGGTCGGAGGCCTGGTCGACGACCGGGCCGCGGGGTCGCTAAGCCCCGAAATCATGTCAAGGTAAGGTAGCCACGAATGCGACCTGACCACACCCAGCCCTAGGGAAAGGTGTAACCGGAACAAGGGATGAATGTGTGTGTGTCTGTACTCACCTATTTGTGTTTGAGGGGGTTGAGCTTTGGCTCTTTGGTCCCGCCTCTCAACTGTCAATCAACTGGTATACAGATTCCTGAGCCTAGAGGCTCTATCATATTTACATTTGAAAGTGCAAGGAGTCAGCCTCCACCACATCACTCCCTAATGCATTCCATCCGTTAACTACTCTGACACTGAAAAAGTTCCTTCTAACGTCTCTGTGGCTCATGTGGGTACTCAGTTTCCACCTGTGTCCCCTTGTGTGTGTGTAATTACCTAAGTGTAGTTACAGGATGAGAGCTACGCTCGTGGTGTCCCGTCTTCCCAGCACTCTTTGTCATATAACGCTTTGAAACTACTGACGGTCTTGGCCTCCACCACCTTCTCACCTAACTTGTTCCAACCGTCTACCACTCTGTTTGCGAAAGTTAATTTTCTTATATTTCTTCGGCGTCTGTGTTTAGCTAGTTTATATCTATGACTTCTTGTTCTTAAAGTTCCAGATCTCAGGAAATCTTCCCTATCGATTTTATCAATTCCTGTTATTATTTTGTATGTAGTGATCATATCACCTCTTTTTCTTCTGTCTTCCAGTTTCGGCATATTTAATGCCTCTAACCTCTCCTCGTAGCTCTTGCCCTTCAGTTCTGGGAGCCACTTAGTAGCATGTCTTTGCACCTTTTCCAGTTTGTTGATGTGCTTCTTAAGATATGGGCACCACACAACCGCTGCATATTCCAGCTTTGGCCTAGAATATTCTTTGGTGTGTGTGTGTGTGTGTGTGTGGCTGCAAAGGGTAAGAGGGGGAGGGGGAGGAGGAGGAGGGAAAGCATGTGGGGGGCGAGAGAGAGTCTGCGGAAGTGACCAGGTAAGTGCAGTCTATGGCCCTTGGCAAGTGTCTGCTGTGGCAACTTTTTGCACATCTCCTCCCCCCCCCCCCCTCACGACTCCTCCCCTCTATCCCCCCCTATCCCCCCCCTAGCTAACCAGCGCTCCAAACACAAGCTCTTTGTTCGTTAATATTGTGTGCCATGTGAAAACACTATCGGGAAAATAATTATTTTTGTAATATATATTATGCGAGTGTGTGTGTGTGTATGTGTGTGTGTGTACTCACCTAATTGTGCTTGCGGGGGTTGAGCTTTGGCTCTTTGGTCCCGTCTCTCAACTGTCAATCAACTGGTGTACAGATTCCTGAGCCTACTGGGCTCTATCGTATCTACATTTAAAACTGTGTATGGAGTCAGCCTCCACCACATCACTGCCTAATGCATTCCATCCGTTAGCTACTCTGACACTGAAAAAGTTTCTTCTAACGTCTCTGTGAAGTGTGTGTGTGTGTGTGTGTGTGTGTGTGTGTGTGTGTGTGTGTGTGTGTGTGTGTGTGTGTGTGTGTGTGTGTGTGTGTATGTGTCCAGAGTTTGAGGCCAGACGCTTGCGGCTAGCCTCACCCAAATGGTCTGGGGTTACAGGATAGACATACGCTAGTCCGGGTAGGCCTAAGATAAATAGTTCAAGAAATATTAGCAATTATAGACACCCCATGTCTATAATTACATATGCTTTCATGCTGTCAAGTGTGAAATATTGGGTGTAATTGGCATAGTTTTAAGGATTGTAATATATTTTCTGAGCCCCATAAAGTTGTTTCAGTGCTTGTTGATACATTTTTTGAGAGTAGGGGGAGAGGGGGTTCAAAGGGAGGTGGGGGGTGAAGTGTGTGGCGAGGGTGGGGAATACTATCTCACCCTATTTCCTAGTATATATATATATATATATATATATATATATATATATATATACCCAAGTATATATATGCATATATATATATATATATATATATATATATATATATATATATATATATATATATATATATATATATATATATATACCCAAGTATATATATGCGAGCCAAATAACATTTCATTGACCATCGGGGACTGGAACCAGAACCGCAGACCATCATTCTACGAGCCGAGACCACGAGTGCCCACACTGAGGAAGGTTCTCAGTACCCAACTGAGACTTTGAAACCCTTCAGTTTACTGGCACTGGGTTACACATTGGTTGATATAACGTGTTAGATACGTTCAGTAGGTTGGGGGTAGTGTTTGGTTGGTGTTGGTATAACGTTATGGAGACTTTGGTTGGACATGTATATGAGTGGGATTGGGTAGTTATAGATAGGAGCTGCCTCGTATGGGCCAATAGGCCTTCTGCAGTTGCCTTTGTTCTTATGTTGTCATGTTGTCAGGTGTTCCTGGTGCTGTTGCTGCTGCTCTCGGTGGCGTCGCACGTGGTGGTGTTGAGATATCGCCGTCGGGAGGCCGGCCACCTTCCCCCTCCCCGCCACACTGACGACGACGAGGCTGCCGTCGACCGTATTGCGTGAGTATTGAGTGGTAAAAGATTAGGAGGCTATTCAGGCCCGTGCTGGAGGTGGCACGGGCATGAATAGCCCGTAAGCGGGAGTATTGGCGGTGTGTTTGCTATGTAGTGGGGGGAGGAAAGCTGTCTGTCTCTTCTCTATTCTCCTGTCTGCATCCACTTTATCTCTCTCTCTCTCTCTCTTATATATATATATATATATATATATATATATATATATATATATATATATATATATATATATATATATATATATATATATATATATATATATATATGTCAAATTGCTTTTTCTACTTCAATTTTTCACCTTCCCTCCCAGTGTCTTTTTTTTTTTTTTTTTTACCTTTGGGGGTCTTAATTTTGCCCGTCTTTGTTTGCCTCCTCCATCTCCATTTTCCTCATTAGCGTCACTTTTAACTTTTTATCAGAGTCCTCCCTTCCTTAATTTTCCTCATCCGTTCTCTTTCTCTTCCTTGTGGTGCCTCGCCATATAATTGCTCTATATTTGTTATATTACTAAATTTTATTGTGATGTTTATTTTGCCTCGACTGGCGAGTTTGTTTACTAGCTCCTAAGTTTTGTTTACTAGTCCTTAAGCTTTGTTTATTAGCCCTTAGGTTTTGTCTACTAGCCCTGGAGGTTAAGGGTGTATAATGGTTGCGTGGGGTGGCCTGTAACGATAGTATTAATTAAAACTATTGGGTATGTTTGTATTTGTGGTATGGTATGTTTATATATATTTTTTGTCGTTGGTATGTCCCATTCCGCTCGGTTGTTTAGCGTAAGGTGTCGTCCGACGGGGCTCTTAAGTTTGGGTGAGTATGGCATTGATGACATAGAAAATGGGTAAGGTGCTTCCTTGGTTCATTCATTACCAAGATGACGTACCCCACTCATTCATTCATTCGTGACAATTATTGCTCACTTTATTCATCGTCGCCGTTTATTCATGGCACTACTAAGCCTGGTGGTGGATGAGCCTGGCTGTGGTGGTGGTGGATGAGCCTGACTGTGGTGGTGGTGGATGAGCCTGACTGTGGTGGTGGTGGATGAGCCTGGCTGTGGTGGTGGTGGATGAGCCTGGCTGTGGTGGTGGTGGATGAGCCTGACTGTGGTGGTGGTGGTGGATAAGCCTGACTGTGGTGGTGGTGGTGGATAAGCCTGACTGTGGTGGGATGTGTGGGGGTAAGGCTGGGAGGAGGAGTGAGAGAGCCCCCTTGTGTGGTCACGTGGCAGTGTCAGGCTACACCTCGGGCAGGGAAACCTTCCTCCTCCTCTTCCTCCTCAAGACGTCTTCAATTACTCCACCGTCCTGCACCTTTCACAACATATCAACTAAAGGAGCACTGCGGGGAGCTTACTGTCTCGCCTGATCTACAACCCCAGTTACCTAGGCCCTAGTTCCTAGACGCTGTTTCACTTTCCTATTTGGTAAACTTACCACTTTAAATGGCCGTGTAATAGTTACGTTACAGCTGTGTCTGGGGGTACAAGTGACAGGATGAACAACCCAGCGGGTTTTCTTCCTATTGGGGAGTGTTGTACATGCTGCTATGGCGGTGTGTTCACTCACAGGATGAGTGGCGCTGCCCAATACTGTCACTATGGCGGTGTGTCCACTCACAAGATGAGTGGCGCTGTCCAATACTGGCACTGTGGCGGTGTGTCCACTCACAGGATGAGTGGCGCTGCCCAATACTGTCACTATGGCGGTGTGTCCACTCACAGGATGAGTGGCGCTGCCCAATACTGTCACTATGGCGGTGTGTCCACTCACAAGATGAGTGGCGCTGCCCAATACTGTCACTATGGCGGTGTGTCCACTCACAAGATGAGTGGCGCTGCCCAATACTGTCACTATGGCGGTGTGTCCACTCACAAGATGAGTGGCGCTGCCCAGTACTGTCACTATGGCGGTGTGTCCACTCACAAGATGAGTGGCGCTGTCCAATACTGGCACTGTGGCGGTGTGTCCACTCACAGGATGAGTGGCGCTGTCCAATACTGTCACTATGGCGGTGACAGTATATACGGTCACACTCTGTGTGTGTGTGTGTGTGTGTGTGTGTGTGTGTGTGTGTGTGTGTGTGTGTATTTACTAGTTAGCATTGTTGTTGCACTGAAGAGTTGCACATTGTTGCACTGAAGGTAATATGGGCCGGTGTTCGTCCACTTGTCGTGGAATGGCAAATAGAATCTAGCTTTCCTTCCATCTTACCTGGGAGCTTGGCATGTTCTGGGGACCTGCTGCGTATTATGGATACTTCAGGTTGTTGTCCAGAGCCAGGAGTCGTCAAGCATTATATTACGAAGCCTCTACATCTTTCAGCAATTATGGCGCCTTTGTTTACGTAGAAAATGTAGCCTGTTTTGCCTAACCAGAAATATATGAACCCAATCAACCCCTTTAACTTATCGAGGCCGATGTTTAAAAAGCTATTATGGCGCTTTTATTTATACTAATACGTCATATTTTTAACGGATTTGTCGTCGAAAAAAATGCGACGTATTAGGTGAAAAGCAAGTGCAATTGTTTCCATCATTGGCCGGAGGTGTGGTTGGAGGCGGCCACAGTGTTGGTCTGTCGGGTGTCGACCCACCCGTGTCTCTCTCTACTGCCAACTGCGTCACCTTGTTTGTATCTGCTGGTATTGCAAGTTTGGTTTTGTCGACTCGTTTCCTCATTGTGTGGTGCTTCCAATACCACAATGGTGGTGTGCGCGCCACCGTTGGGCTAGTGATGGTTCCCTCAACTATGTGGTTTTGAAGTCATCACGCTTCGCTGCCGTCATGTTTTTCTATCGCGCGCCTAATTTATTTCGTGCATTAGTAATCGTCGTGAAGTGTGCATGTGAGCTTATGGTTGGTAAAACAAAAGAATGCAAGCACGCTTCCCAGACCACGCGCCAACCACAGACGCGAGTTTGTTTACATAGCTCAGCTGATCGGAGTCACGTGTCCAAACGGACGACTAGGATTTTGGCGCGCATTCTCGTGTGTCGTATCGAATCGTATGACTAATGAACCTGCGAGAGATGACGGTATTAAATTAGTATCGTTTTGTATGTTTGCATCGTATGGTTGTGTTTAGTGATGTTTGTTTCTTATTGTGCGCTGGGCCTTGTCTCTTATTGTGCTGGGCCTCGTCTTTACGAACGACTTGACCTAGGTTCATATCTTGGCCGCGGAGGATTGACTGGGTGCCAATCCTTAACCACTCTCGCACAGCAGTAATTGGGCAACTGGTTCTTAAAGGATTGACGAGTCGTATTCTAGGGGAAACTAGTGGTTAAGGCTATGTAGGGATGGGACTGCTAACTAGAGTTAGCAGTCGTGTGTCCCTAGCAGTACTTCTACCTGTGTAGCAAACAACGGGCTGGACACGAGAGCCTCGCGTGTGGTATGTGTTAGGCCCGGGCGAGGGTAATAAAGCAGAGGGAGCATTAGCGGCACCATATGGAAATGAGAAGCGCCAGGCATTCCCGGATTGTGTAGCTGACATCGCGCCAGTCAGTTGAGAGCGGGAGGAATGCGCTGTGCAGCTTGGAATATTACCCCCTGTCTCTCTGACCCATGACTGTCTTCCTGACTCCTGTGGTTGTCGCTAGGGCTCTTGTGGTTGTCGCTAGGGCTCTTGTGGTTGTCGCTAGGGCTCTTGTGGTTGTCGCTAGGGCTCTTGTGGTTGTCGCTAGGGCTCTTGTGGTTGTCTTTGTGGGTCTAGTGGCTATCGCTCGGGCTCTTATAACTCTGACTCTTGTGTCTTTAACTCTTGTGGCTGTCTTTGTGTGGGAAGCAATTCGAGGAGTGTCTAAGGCGGCAATGTGCACATCATGTTTGGTGGTGTGGGTGTGTAGGGTCCTGCTGCTGCTGCTGCTGGAGGGTAGGGTCCTCCTCCTGCTGCTGCTGCTGGAGTGTAGGGTCCTGCTGCTGCTGCTGCTGGAGGGTAGGGTCCTCCTGCTGCTGCTGCTGCTGCTGGAGTGTAGGGTCCTGCTGCTGCTGCTGCTGCTGCTGGAGTGTAGGGTCCTGCTGCTGCTGCTGGTCTCTGGCCGTAGACGGCTGAAGGTGGACAGGTCACGGGCAAGACCCGGGACAGGTTTTGGACCCACTCTGGAATTTGGGGAGAGGGAGAGCTGAGAATGGTCGGCACGACGCCAGGGTCAGGGAGGAAGAACAATAATGGAGAAATTATTTAGTTCACCTGAAGAAACGTAAAGATATAGGCCTAATATTTAATAAAAATTAGAGGCCTAATAATTAAATATGACCATATGGGCAATGGAGTAACATTAGATAAAGGTCAGTAAAGATTCGGCAAAACGACTGAAAACTGTTAAACCACAACCTCTTGGTGGATAATGTTAAACCATAACCCCTTGGTGGATAATGTTAAACCGTAACCCCTTGGTGGATAATGTTAAACCACAACCCCTTGGTGGATAATGTTAAACCATAACCCCTTGGTGGATAATGTTAAACCATAACCCCTTGGTGGATAATGTTAAACCACAACCCCTTGGTGGATAATGTTAAACCACAACCCCTTGGTGGATAATGTTAAACCATAACCTCTTGGTGGATAATGTTAAACCATAACCTCTTGGTGGATAATGTTAAACCACAACCCCTTGGTGGATAATGTTAAACCACAACCCCTTGGTGGATAATGTTAAACCACAACCCCTTGGTGGATAATGTTAAACCACAACCCCTTGGTGGATAATGTTAAACCACAACCCCTTGGTGGATAATGTTAAACCACAACCCCTTGGTGGATAATGTTAAACCACAACCCCTTGGTGGATAATGTTAAACCACAACCTCTTGGTGGATAACGTTAAACCACAACCCCTTGGTGGATAATGTTAAACCACAACCCCTTGGTGGATAATGTTAAACCACAACCTCTTGGTGGATAATGTTAAACCACAACCCCTTGGTGGATAATGTTAAACCACAACCCCTTGGTGGATAATGTTAAACCACAACCCCTTGGTGG